CAATATCTCAAGTTTGTGCAACCCTATCGGCCGCTAGTCTCGATCCAATTAAACGAAAATCGATGGCATCGACGTATTTGTTCTGTACATAAAAATGACAAAGCATTGAATCCATTTACACTAAATCTTCTGTAAATAACAGAAACTTCCACTTTTCCACAATTTTGTTTATCTACGTGACACCCCTAGTTCTGTTAGAATCTTTTATATTTATTATTTTTTCTAAAATGGCCATTTTATCCTTTATTTTCTGAATGGAAATAGGAAACTGAATAACGCTAAATTTAGTAAGTATAAACCCAATTTATTTAAAACAGTTTATTTCTATGATAAATATCGAAATTAAATTGTTTCAAAATATCGCTATTTAAAACGTTATATTGTTTATTATATTCTTTATTATAAGTATTATTTATTGTATTTTATAATATAGTAAATCCTGAATAATTCGACGACGGGAAAAAATCGGTCGGTGTGAACTAATATTAATTGAAGCATAAGAGAACTTTGTATCTCCATAAGGTTAGTAAATAAAAGAAATGAATCGGTCTATTATAGTAGTTATTTATTAATAATTAATAATAACCTATAATTATAAATCTCACGCCAGTAAATACGACTAATTAATTTTAATACGTTTAGAACTAAAACTGTAGACAAAATGGTCGAAATATTTCAAATTTACTAAATGAACCGCCGAATTGGATAATTTCAGTTAGGAAATGAAAACAAAAATTAAATCGAAATTTCGCGAACGAAAAATTAATCAAACATTTTAACATTAAAACTTAAAAACAACGAATAAGTTAGCTGAAACAACGTTAGCTAACACGTTGACTGCCACGAAAATTCCAAGCGTTTCGTATAATAATACTTATTTCTTCATAACAAATGGTATTAGAAATAGTTATTGATTTTATATTACAACACTTAGATTACACTATTATCTAGCTACTTATGTTATTAAATAATTTTATTCAACATCGATATTTTTATTGTAATTGTTCTCAAGTAACTTGGTGCAACTTGGTGCAACTTGAAGCAACTCCCACAGGTTTTTGGAATAACCCAGTCGAAAAGTGCCAAACAGCGTGATCGCGTTTCTCTCGATTCACACAGAAACTGAATTACTCTCTTCTATCTTTACATTAAAAAAGTTCTAAATAGTGCGATCGTTCCAGTTGTCGGTTTCTAAGCAGATAATAATAAAAATTTTAAAAAATAATTGGAAGGAAAAGAAATAAATACACTGAATTTGATTGTACTAACCGATAGGCTGACACTTTTAGGCAGTGCAACGGAGAAACGCGATCGCGGCGCTTGGCACTCAAACGGTTAAGGAAAATGTCCCGATTCGCCCTTTATTTCCTCGAAAAAGGAATATGGTCGCGGTAATCACGAACACACGAGCGATCCGGCTGTTACCTACGCGTGGGCACTCGGGGTATTGTCGGGTGAGTCATCTCTCGTTTCCGTTCGTCGTGTACCTCTCATCACCCCGTGTGCAACGTGTGCAGTACAGCCGCGGGTTTGTTTTCTGGGTAAAAGCCGAAGCCGCGTGGTTCTTAAGAACAATGGAAACAAAAGTGGCACGCCGGCACGCGTGCTAGGCACAGGGTAGCCATGGTCACGGCGGTCACGTTTCGCAGAATGTTCTTGTCGGATAAGTATACCGGTGCCGCGTCCATCGTGTACACCTATACTCCGCGTTTATGCCTTCTTTCCGTCCCCTACCCCCCGAACTATGTACACCGATATGTACTAGTCACCTCGGTGTGTCCACCGTGTGCACGAGATTCCGGACGATTCGTCTCTGCGAAGAGATACGGTGGTCAAATAAGGAAGAGCAGCGATCGTTCTCGACGTTTTGTCTCCGCGTTCGAGGCGTTGGGGTACTTCTACAGCGGAGCTGACATTGGCGCTGGACAATCGAATCTCAATGTTTCAAGTGATTCGTAGCTTTTCAATACTCTGAATATTCGAGGAACTTCGAATATGATTCGATTCCATAATGAAGGAAGGAAGGTTTGTTGTGTCTTGGGCGTTGAATAATTTGTTGATATTAAAACATATTAAAAATTTTGGGAGTTTTAAAAGTTTTGGAAGTCTTAAAAGTCTCGAAAGCTTTGAAAGTCTCGAAAACTTTGAAAATCTTGGACATCTTAGGAGTCTCAGAAGTCTTGTAGGTCTTGAAAAACTTGAAAAAACTTGAAAATTTTGACAGATCTAGAACACTTGGCGATAATCACTCATCTGTTTACCATCCCCTCTACTCTTCACAACGTATCCCTGCTACCAGGTAATATTTCGTTGTCCGGTGATGTTAGAAACAAATGAGAATACTGACAAACGTTGCCCATGATAATAGCCCATAACTGCAGTGAATGTAAAGGGGATGGTAAACAAGCGAAACTCTAATCATTATCAAGTGTCCGAGATCTATCAAGGCTTTTAAGACTTTCAAGACTTGAAGACTTCTCAGTTTTAACGAATCATTCAAGGTTCAAGTCTTACCAAATCATTCAAAACCTTTCGTGAAATCGAGTCATATTCTAAATGATTCAAGGTTTTCATCACCTGTTCAGATTTGAAGCGATCCGAAATGCTCAGTGTCAAAACATTTACGATGGAGCAACGCAAAGAACTATGTTCAGTTAATTCATCAACAATACAAGCGTTATGAATCAACGCTCTCGGTGCTTCTACCGTAGCTCCACTATAAATGCACCCTTGCGAGTGATAAGGGCGTGAGATCACCACAGGGTAGAATGTTTTGTGAATATAGCTTAATGAATTTCATAGTGAAGTCGTTCACGGATTGAAGCGATTAATTCCACCTTTGGAATGTTTTTAAATTTTAATAAAAGAAACACTTGGTTGATTCTTTGAGTATGTAATTTCATAAAATTTTTATAGCTTTCATTTTATGGAGTGAATTACTTGTAACTAAAGAGCTTATTTTTAAAAAATATACTTTCTCGAAGTTTTTCTTCGATATTTTTGAAATTGGAAAAAAGATAACATTTTGAAATGTAGCTTCGAGGATCTTTTATATAGTTTATTAGCCTAATCCTTAATGATTAAAATTTATTATAACATTTCATTTTGTCATTGTTGTAATTTTATTACAAGTGAAGGATTTTACAACATTTTTGTTCGAATATTTCGTAGATTTATCATTATTACTAGTAAAATTTATCTGTAATTCTTGAAGCAATTTTCTTAGTCAATAAATTAATTTAAAAATATTTGTATTTTATGGAATATCATGTAAAAATATGAATTTTCATAAACATTTAAAGTCTCAGTAATATCATACATTGTCATGAATTTTCATTGTACTTGAAGTTGTGAACATAGTATATGAAGATATCGATATAAAGGCAGTCATTCCCTCTCCAAGTCGTAAACTTACAAGTAAGAACAGGGGATTGTGATTGACATTCTGGGTTTATATGAACATAAAAGCAAACGGTTACGCAGTGACTAGATTGAATAAATTTTTATAGTGAAAATATTGATGTTCAATACTTTCTTGTTTCTAACCACCTAAAAATGTATGTAAAAGTTTATAATCACCTAAAAATATCGTAACACTAAAAAAAAGAGAGAGAATTGAAAGTTACAACACATGATGTAGAGTATCCTTGACATCTCATTCTCACTATCGTGCTCACTACTCACTAACCTCGCAAATAAGATGTTTTATCTTCAATAAGAGTTTGCATTTATAAGACAAAACAAATGTTTGATTTCGTAAAAATAAATTCGTTAAAAATATAAAATAATATACTATACATTAGTGTGTCTACAAATTGCAATTCTACATAGTTAACAAATTATGTAAGTGTATTAAAAGTAAGATAAATCAAACAAGTTTAAAAGTATGATCCGCATGGAAACATACAATTCTATTAAACCGTGCTGCAGGATATCATAAATCACCTCCGTCATAATTTCAAACTCAATCGTATCTAATAGAATGTCAGCTGGCAATTCTAGAAGATATTTCACCATCAACGTAACCAAACCCCTTTTCGTTATATCTTTCACTTTCTTTATGCGAAGAATATAATATGAGACGCGATCAGTTTAATTTGACAACATGTTGCGTAACACGCTTTCAATGTAAGCAACTGGTTAACCGCAAACGAGTCCTTGGAAGTCGATAAACAGCCCAAAAAGAGACAGTTTACGTTTAATTTGATTGAAGCACACATTTACCCCCTTAGAACAGATTTGTTCAATAACTTTACAAGCAGCGTTGTCTTACACCATTTGAAATGTTATTTATGAATTTTTCTAAATACACTTCCAAGTGTACTATTTACTATGAGCTGGGTCAATTTTGTTACCAACACTATGCCGTCCGGTGGCATCATGTTGGTGCCCTGCGAAAATTTTCAGACAAATGCCGGTGACACACGTTAGTGTTGCGTACAAAGCTATCGCATACACGCCAGTTTTTACGTTTTTACAAGAAATTGTGCCTTTTGAAATTTCGTGAAAGTGAAGGGACAGGATTGAGAACTATTGAGATTAGTAAAACATGACGTTTTATCATCTCCCGAAAGCCTCGAAAAACCTCCGGCGACAGACGAAAAGATCTGAACGAATCCTACCGACGCTACACTAAAGAGTCCTGATTACGCGTGCGGGCGGTATAGTGTTAAGTCTGATGCAATCGACGAACAACTTAAATTACATGTAAATAAGTGAGAAGATAGAAGTCAAAGTTGCAAATAAATAACTAACACTTTCCCCGCCACGTTACCCAAATTTGTCTGATAGACCTTTTTGTATAGATTTAAAAATTAATTTTCTCTTTGAGATATCAAACATACGAAATTCGTTTAGACTTATGAGATGCATGAAGATCGAGTTAGTAATCATTGTAAAAGGTTTCGACTTTTTAGTTTCTGTTTATTTATGATAAATGTATCTGTTCCATGATTGCTATTTCGATTAAGATTATAATTATTTCTATCTGTTTTGCGCAGGTCGAGAACGTGAGCTTGTGCGTGGGAGCGCTCCGGGCGCTTGGGGCGGACGTGGGATCCGTGAATCCAGTCGAATTGGCGGCAGGATCAACCCTTTGGCCGGTTCTCGCCCTTCTTTTCGCCCTCTCACGATACAAGCAGAGAGCGAAACAACTGCAAGATATGCCTCGGTAAGTTGTCAAAGCAGATTCCTTCTTGCCGGCTATCAGAAATGCAGTGAGCTTCTATATCAGCATGGTTCTTTGTGGATAAAGTAGAAAACTATTATTGACGGTCGATAACTTTTTCTTCATACGACTGAAGTTAAGTTAGAGACCACTGACACTGTGTAATTTAAGAAAAATAAAATCAATTGATTAAAATTATATTTTTATATACTAACTTTTAAAGGTACAAAGAAACGAATAGTTTGTTTACTGGGAATTTTATTACATATAATGCTTAGCAACATCATGGGTTTAAAGAATCTTCTTTGACAGTTATATTACAGACTTTTATAGTTACATTAAAGATTCTTGATAAGGCTTTCCTTATATGTGTTTTAATTGTTATCTATTATCTATGACATAATCTACGAGATAAAATTGAAGTATATTTGAATTACGTGTCTCTCTGAAAGCTTGTTGCAAAAAGTCAATCTTAATTTAATTAACATCTTAAACTGACAGTAATTGTTTAAAAAGTATCAACTGTTGTTAGGTTAAATATTCTTACAAGAACATTGAACTGTAGTCATAATATCAGAATAATAATAATTTGAATTTTTCAATCAAATTGATTGTAATTAATATTTATTCTTTTTGTTTGTGCAACAGTTTAAAATTCTTTTAAACATTCGAGATTTTATAGACAATAGTCACAATAGTTTTCCATTTTCGAATTTTCTTTTAAAGAACTCAAGATTTATAATTAATACAACAACATTCTAAAAACGAGGTACAAAGTATTGTGCCTATTTCTGTAAACTTGTGATTCACATATAACTGAATTCATGTTTAATATACGGATGCAAAGTTAACATGTCTAGGGTATACATTATAATTGTAGGTATTATAATGTACATATTATTTTTATTTAAGGTAGGTACATTTATTTTTTATTCAGATATTTTCACTCTGAGAAACCAATTAATGCTATAACTAATACCGTAGTTGCATTCATTTAAAACATAAGATTAATAATAATCTATTGCATACCAGAAAAATAATAAAAAGTAAAAAAATAAATGAATATTACACTGACATTAATATTTAAAATAGTGAGATACATTTTGTGGTATTTTAATCTGATTTTTTCATAGAAAAATAAACATATTTTAGTTCTTCAGTGAAACAAAACATTTCAGTTGCTTTAGTAAGCTTGTCAAGACAAACAACGCTACTTGAATTTTATTTGTAGTAAATACAGCGGGATTATGACTCCAGTAGAGAACATCATGGAACCTCACTTCACTTAAGGATTAAAGTAAGCAATAAATCGGTGTAAAAGGTGAGGATCATCGTAAACGGTACTAGTACTTTGACCTCGATAACAGTCCCAAAGTGATTTATTTATTTCTATACCGTACCAACATCTTACCATAATATTCATATCAGAAAATTCATTTAACAATATAACTAAGACTTTAAACGTTTTTCATCGAAATGAGTAAATCAAACGTCATATAGTAACATTATTAACTTGTTATCTTATCTTTATATCATGTCAACCTCCTGATAAAAATATTAAACCGAAATTGACAAGCCTAAATCCTATTCACCTTTTTGAATATAAATTAAATATTAATTTCCTCTTATCAATCGTTAAACCTTAGAGTAAACGTAGGCCTAAAATAAGGTAACAAATTCTTTTCCTTTTCCAAGATCTGATTAACGACGAAGTAGATTAGTCGAGCATAATCGTGAAAGAACACAATTAATAATAACAATACTATTAATCAATCATGGGGCAAGGGATTAATTCGACACAACATGAGCAAAAGTCTCATACAACGTACGAAAGCATTAACATAAACCATCAATTACACCCGATCACCTTAAACCTAGGAGAACGTCAGACACCGGCGTCCTACCATCGTTCATCCGATCGATTCTATCACAGCATAGAGGCGCCGCGACGAAGATAAAATTCTTCCCGAAACCCTCAAAGTCAAGGTAAACTCATTTAACTCGCGAACGTTTATCTCGAGGGACTGGCACTCCATTAATGAAGACCTATCAGGATCCTCTCGATTTCGTCCAGACGTTGATCGATACCCAGAGGCGCATCGCCGCGGATAAACGTTCTCTTTATTCCCTCCGGCTCGGTTTCGCGAGATTCCGGAGCACTTAGACTCTCGTCGTCGTGATACTTTCATTCTTCGCGGGGGTTCGAATCGATACCGACGTCCCGTCGGACAAACGAGCCGGCGGCGTACTCATTAACGCCCGCGTTAATCAAGCCGTGCGCGAGCACGCGCCGCTCGCCGCTCGCCGCTCGCCGCTGAATTTCCGCGAAGATACGCGTTGCACGCGCGACCCGCGTAATTATTCGTGTGTGCGTGTCGTTATGCCAGCGTAATCGCGTGCCGCTGCTTCAAACATTTTAATTACTCCCACGCGATCCCCGGTTAATTGCTCTACCGCGACTAGCGGACACCGGGCTAAGGAGCTGCTGACTGACTTAACGCCTTTTTCTTGATTCGCGACTCCGCGGAACGGGGACTGTCAAGGTCGTTATTTTTAAACGCTCGCGATGGCCCGAGCGAGAAGGGTTCCGAGGAGGACTCTTCTGCTTCTCGCGAAATGAAAGAGACGATATTAATCTTCGTTACGCTCGCACTTGACCGATGACTTTTCGTTGAAATGCTTAGCATTCCGCGGAAACAATTCGGGGTATTGTGATGACACCGATGTACGCTTTGCAGTTTTAGCGGATTGGTGTTTGTGGCACGAAATGTTCGGTTGAAATTGTGAAGGTGATTTCGAAAGTGAAGCTATTTGTGTAAGAATTAAGGAAGAAACAATACTATACAGTAGAACCCCTTAAACGTGATTGAAATATTCCGCGTTATAGGGTTTATGAATTTCGCGTGAAATTCTACTTTTGGATACTGTCCAACTCGTATTAACGTGCTTGTATCAGTTTCTTATGGAAAATTTCACGTTCATAATTGTTTTTCGGCTATTTTTTAATCACATTATAGGGGGCTTTACTCTACGTATGTCAGTGGCCAAATCAGTTAGCTCCACAAAAGAAAAAATAGAGAAAAATGATGGAATAGAATACATTTCCTTTTAAAATTTCTCCTTAAGTGGAAAATCAAATAAACATTATATAATGTATTTGCCATTGTTGTTATAGGTGTAGGTTTAATCTGACGAAAATGTAAGATCAGTGATAAGAAACATTTAAGTATAAAAAGTTAATTGTCAATCAAGCGCTTTGACAATAAAATCTGAACAAATTTAGAAAGTAGAGTTAATCGATATGGCCAATGAACGGTTCGTATATTAAGGAATTGGAGTAAATGAGTTGCAGATGTTTAAAAAGTATTTTAATAAAGTAATATATGCTTTTGTCCGTGTAACAAATGTAAAAGAACATGGTGTTCATTTATATTTGACAATTATGAAAAATTATTAAGCGATAGGATACTCTATTGAGACCTTCTTGATATTGCCGACGAAGAAGATAAAAAGAAAGATTACCGGAAGGTTCAATGACCGTAGAAAATATTTCTGTATTTAATAAGTGAATGATTGCTGTAATAGAAACATAGTTTGCTGAAAGCAGTAGTTTAACTTTACGCAAAAATAGAACGTTTCACAATCAATGTACAGTAAATTCGGTTTTAAGATTCTTCTTTATGATTCTCTTTTTAAGTCGTGCAATTTTGTAACAGATGTATAAAAAGTTCTACAAAAGATCATTTTTCAAAATACGTATTAAATTAAAAATGGTTACATATCATGAAATACATATTAATTGAAAAATAGAAAGTTAGGCAGATAAAGAACGGTAAAGGCTGCATTTAGTAAAAACCATAATAAAATAAATTTAATTATTAATTTATTCCGTGCGCTGTTCAAAATAAGATGTAGATATATACTTCAAATAGTCATAGGTGAATAAGAGAAGATTAATTAAGAGTTGATTTTATTCATACTCTACACTTACAAGTACTACACTTATAAGTAGTAGTTGATTGCGATGAAAGAATTATAGTAATTATTGTAGATCATCTTTTTAAACATGTAAGTGTTAAGAGTCTAAGGAGCGAAATTGACTTGTCTTTCTTGGAACCTCATAATTAAACTAGCTAGTAGCTCGCACTATTGAGTTAGCAAAGAGCTTAATACAAGTCTCCTAATTACAAGTCTCAAGAGTCGACTTATCAATGACAAAGAACATATTTGACGGTGAGATCTAGCAAGAGTATCACTTACCAGAACACTCGAGAGAGCTCCAAGAAAATCACCACACTTGTTCCATCAAGAATACATTCACCAAGCAATGCAATAAAATGTGCGCTTGTCCACAAAGTGTCAGTGTTACGTCTTCGTCACAGCATTTGGTTGTCATTACACGGAACTTTGAAGAGGCCAGTGAAATTTCTCGAAGTTAATGGCCCCAGGGAGTGCTTAACACTGTAGATATACCGAGTAGTCAAAGCGATTTGTTTCTAGTCTTTTATAAATATCGATTTTTAACAATATAAGTTACGAATATTATCTTTTAAAGATGTTCATTAAGATTTCCTTTGATTTTTATTGCGGTGCGCATATTAATAGATTTATTAGTAATTTATTTAATTTATTTAATTTATTTAATTTATTTATTTAATTTATTAATTTATTTAATAATTTTTCATAAAAATGATTAAAATCTCCATAATTATGAAATAAAAGTATTAAAATTAAAATAGGTCAGTTAAACTCAATTTGGCAAATCTAACTTTAAAATTCCATAGTGGAAAGCATATTTCTAAGTATAATGAGGGGATAACCGTGATCAACGTCTATTAACAATAGTAATTTGTATTTTTAAAATATACACCTGTAAAGGTTTTTATATTTACAAATTATGAATTTAAAGAATTTAATTCCATTAATGTACACATCTTTTCATCTTGCTTTTTGTGCCAAGTCCTATAAATATCACTAAATTTCTGTATGCATGTTTAATATAT